ATGTGCATAAAGTGTATAAAACCGAAACAAATTGTTTTTTAGTCACTAATTAGTATTATGTTTATATTTTTTTTTACTATAATAATATGTTCTATCGTTGCCTCCGTTTCATACAGTTCGTTACGTGATAAAAGTTTAATCATTGTATTTTTTCCCGGCGTTTTTTTATACATGGTACATTAATATTTGCGGTTTTATATTGTGTATATACTTACTTATGTATGTGTGTATATTTAAATTACGTATATAAAATACATGTGGAGTTTTATATCATAAATAGCGTTTTATGAACATGCAAAATGATTGGTTGTAGAAGAATGTTATTTGTTGAGTGTCTTACATTGTACATTGAATTAACATCTGTAGTTGATGTATGATGTACCTACAGAATATTATCATGCCTCTAGATCACTCGGTTTTTCAAATTTAAACAATCATTTTATCGAAAAGTATTGACATTTAAAAAAAACGTTTAAGGTAATTTGAAGTCATTACAAAACAACATAAAAAAAAAAATCATAATAATGGAATATACTATTACAATAAAATTAATTTAATTTCCATCGTTATCGTTTTTTCTTTCTAGATATTATCTTTTTTTTTATTGTCATAATTTATTTTAAAATTCATATTCAGAAGTAGTATTTTTCTCTAAGAATTATTGTATAATTTATAAAAATCAAATTTCAAATGAGTAGTTACTATGTTTTAAATTTTGGATTTTAGATTTCTATTTCTGAAGATAGATGTATTCTAGTGTTCAAAAACCTAAATAAAAAATTCAAACTAAGTTTTGGGTGTTCAAAATCATCATGATTCGGATAGAGTTAATACGGGTGTAAGCAGTTCGAAAAATTGTATTTTGAAAACTATATAGGAAGAGAAATAAAAGACAATATTATATCACTTTATCGAAAATAATTTATAAAACAAAATATTATTCAGATTTCAGGTTAATTGGAATGATTGATTTCGGTACAATAAATACTTAATAATGACTTATTTACTAAAAAGTATATATTATATATACAAAAACCTTTCAAATATTTTCCCAAAAAAATTAGTGTTCACCTATAACAAATCAATTGTTTAACCAGGATAATAATGAAGAAAAAATATCGTTGGTTTTAATATTTTTTTATTTATATATTCAATAATAACACGTGATTGCGACAAGTCGATCTATTTATTTCGACGACTATTGTCATTTGTCTGACCGCGATAATAGCTCTCAATGATAAGAACAATGATATAATATAATAACAATAATAATATGATTATTTATATATATATATATATTTACCTATTGTGTTTGTGTGTGTATGTGTATATTTGTGCGCGTATCTCCGATTTATGTCACATATACCTAGTGTTAATGTTTTCGATTAAGTACGTGATTCGAATAAGCATTGGGATTTCTGTGACGCAATTCTATAATGGATTTGCTGGCCAATACAATAATCGTAATGAAATAACCAAAAATTATAATGTAATAACAACAAAGACGTACACAGACGTGCTTACTGTCCGACTGTAGTCTGTAAAGAGAGTGTATAGCGGCGCGTGTCAGAAGGAGGACGGCTATGGTGGCGAGAAATATATCCGGCTCGCGGCCGTTTTTCCAAGACGACGCAATCGAGTAGGCAGTAGACTAGTCAACATGATTCAGTGATGCTGCATTAGAGGGAGAAAGCTTAACTTCTGCCTCTTTAGCAGCAAGATAATGAAATATTAGTGGAAATATTACAATCGACATGATGATGTACTACAATTTCCGCCGATTGTTTTATTTTTTCTCCTATTATTTTATAAATTGATAATTGTAAATATCTACTTTATATTATTATAAATTTAATACTATGCGTTCCTATTTTCCCGTCATTTACTAAGTTTATTTTTTGTTCTTGTTGAAAACTTTAAACGACCGAAATTTGAACCAAACGTTTCTTTCGATTGCACGAACATTAAGAATTTCTATCTACGTCGACTTTTGCGATATTTTACAAAATTTTTTATAGAAACTAACGTATTTTATGATTTTTCGTAAGTTCAAATAGAAAAAAAACATTAACATTATTAATGCTATATATTACATGATAAGAAGTCTTTAAACAACAAAAATAGTAATTTGAGGAACTTTAATTATTCATCTATGTGATGCAAAAAATATATTTATCTACTCAAAAAGCACATATTTTTCCATACCAACATTTTGACAAATTAATTTAAATAATACAATGACAAAACAGTTTTCAGAAACACTATAAATGTTAGTTTTAAGAAATTAATCGCAACTAAAAATGTGGAAATATGTGTTTCAAAAAAAAAAAAAAATTAATTTTGTTTACGTCATTATGTGCTTATATATTGTTGATATATTTCATAATATCCAATATTATTCTGAAAATATTAAAAATATTTATTAAGATAGTTAAATTTTTCAAGAACCAAATTAATACGAAAATATGATCTTATTGCTGATCATTAAATTTACTTCTGACTACTAAATAATCAACATTGCATACATCATAAGACTTAGTTATTTATTGGAAAATTAATTATTTTATTATGTCAATAGTAATTAATAGCATTCAAAGTTAACACAATTTTTATTTTCCATTTGGAAGATTTGGTGGTAAATAGATTCGCCTAGGTTCAAATTAAGCATCATTATGAAATGATCAATGCAAATGATAAATTAGCCTTGGCCTGTAGAGAAACCACATAATTGAATAACCATAATAATATAATAATTGGTATAGTGAAATTACGGTTTCAAAAATATTTAATACAGCTGCGCATCATGAACCAATAAAGTAATTTAATTAAATATATTATTTCTTTTCTTACTTTCAAAAAAAAAAAAAAAAAACTGATAATAATTAACAGATATGCATTTAGGAAATCGTAAATGTGTTTTCAATTGTTATGTTTTTAAATATAACGATAATTATTGTAATGATGTTGCTTTAAATAATTTTGATTGAATAGGTACTAATTTAAGATGTATTTATATTTTATTTATTTTTACTCAAACTGACGACCATACTTTCTATAAAGATAAACCAAAATATTGAAAAAAACTTAATATTAAAAATATATTATTATTATATGTTATCGTTTCATAAAGAATAAATAATTAAAATATTATTTTAAGAAAAAAATTATTCAAATATGGATATTTTGTTTTGTTTGTGTTCAATTATTGTTAACATAAAAATTATTCACAAAATATGTAAATATTACATATTGATTGATATCACTAAAATCTATAAGTATTTTATTTTAATAATGATTAGACTCTGACTGAGAATCAGCAATATAAATATCGTTTTAGTAATAACCAGCAATGACAAACAAGTTAACAAATCTTTAAACTAAACGAGCCTTACGTTTACGAGTAGAATTAAGTTAGGTAGGGTACAAAAATATTTGAAAAAAAAATAAATTGATTTCAAATTGTTTTAACTGAAATTGGTTTGAATATAAATATAAATATTTGTTTAACTACTTCTACACATGTCAATTTTTGTACCCTCGATCGTATTTCTCTGTAATCGAATTATGCAATCATCACCCTTCGCCAGTAAATTAAAATGAAATAAAATTGCGACTATATGTGCATATAGGTATATTGCGTAGGTACATAAAGTGTAAATGTAATTATGAATCCATTTACTGAACTAGTATTTTTATTTAAACTTCCATGCTCGCAATTTTTTCCTTTATATGTTTTATGTTTTATTGTTATTTATTTTTAATCTTATTCCCACATGTGTACCTTACCCGATAGAAATTAGGAAATTTATCAGACTAATTCCATGTATGCAGTACAGGATATTTGCAGTTTAATTTTATCGATGAGGTCAAAATCGTATAGATTTTAAAAAAACTATTATAAAGTGTAAATTGACATTTACATAGCATATAGTAACATACGTAAATTTAATATAATCAGATATGTGAAAAGTGTTTCAATTTTCCTCGAAACTTGAAAGTAATTAAATATTTGTAAATCCGTGATTAATAACATTTTCCTATTAGCTTAGGTTCGACTCTTTAGAGATGAAAATATTATAAGTTAAAATATATAAGTCTTAATTTCACGTAGATATTTTAAAATGATGCTGATTTATGAAACGTTAACCAGAAGATATCTGTTTTAAATACCTATACAGTGTATTTATATATACAGGCATCGCATAACGGTTGAACGAGTTTTTATGATCCTGTTTTAATATATACTGTTTGATATTTTATAAAAATTATGTACCTTTATACGGGCTTGTTGTGTTTTTGGCAAAATTCCCTTTTAAAAAGCATTAAATTCTTTTTTTCTTTTTTTTTTATATAAATAATATATATATTTATATTTGTGAGATTAAATTAAATTCTATTAATGTGTACAAGTAACTCAAAAATAGATAAATTACAATAAAATGTATTTATGTTTGAAAAGTATCGTCTTTTACAAACATTTAGTGAACAATAGATAATATAACTATCATAATATAAACGATGTGTTATTCGGTAAAGCTAGCAAGTTAATGATTTTTACTCAGTTTAGGTAATATTCATTGATAAAAAAAAGTTAATAAAGTTTACTTTTTTCTTGTTTATAACCTAACCTTAATTAATTTTTTACCAACTCAACACTATTTAATTTTATACAGTATTTCTATTACCGTTTTTCATTGAAGTTTTTTTCGTTATTAAAAAAAAAAAAATAAATGAATGGTTCACTCTAAACATTACCCGAAAAATGTTATGATATAAAAACAAAATTAATTTAATAAAAATGTTATTTATTGATTTCACAATAATTAAAAACAATTAAGTTAAATTAGTTGGTTAATTTACGTACTAAAGAAAACTCAAAGATTACCTATTAGTTAAGTTACATAAGTTAAAATTAAATTAACTTTTTATAATTTATTTATACCCAGCCTTGTAATTATTCAGAATCATTAATATTTTATATATTATACTCTAGAACTCACTTGTGTAGCTTGAAAGTGTTGTAGAGTATACTTGACGTTCCGTTTAAATTTTTTGGATTTTCGTCGCGGATCTTGTGTACTGATCGGCACTAAACCACCATACGACCAAATTAAAAATAAAAATTTAATTGATTTTTAAATTACGACGACGCAGTTTATTGCTATATACGATTATATATTTTTTATGTAAATACACCTGTGGACAATCGAGTAAATTTCACAGTGACCACGAGGGGCGCAACGGACGCGACAGTGGTAAGCGAGTGACTGAACGTTTATTAAACAACTGCGACGACGACGACGACGTGTGGTGTGTAACGTGTGTGTGAGCCGGCGAAAAAAACTTAACCGGACGTCTTGTAGGACGTGGTCATCTGTGGCGATCGTTTAGGCAACTCGAAACCGGAATACCGGCAGCTACTCTAATAAATATATATATACCATAATACAATATGAATCGTTTGTGCAGCAGCCGGGACGGCGGGAAACGCACTCGTCTCGCAGTAGAGGTAGACAGAGATGACCCACGTTGTTGTAGGTATTATATTCGCCGACTCCGACATAATATAATAATAATAGTAATGGTAATAACAACGTTTTATCATTGTGTTTATTATTATGTGTATAGTAGGGGAGATTTGCTTTCTCCCGGGATGGACGACGTCGATTCGTCCGCGGCTGCGTGTCGTAGTCTTATCCCCGCAAATTATGTTATAATAATAATAATAGCTGCAGCATAATAGCTTTTATAATTATTCGCCTTCCTGCATAATATTATTAAAATTATTATGTGGATCGAATATCGGAATATTTAATGTGTTGTGTGTATACATCGTTTTATGTTACACACGTATTCACTGTTTTTTTTTATTTATTTATTTATTTATTTTTTTTTTTTTTTTTGGTCCATCCTGTTATTATATCTTAGCTGGCAAAAATACCTAACCATTTTTGATTTTTATATTTTTCTTCAAATTACATTTATATACGTCATATTATATGCATATTAACTACTGACGAGCATGCAGCGTAATTCATTTCTATATGTATGTATAATATATTATAATATCACAATTTATTATCGTATTTATAATGGTGCATATGATACATAGATACAAACAATTTTAGCGAAGTAATAAGTAAAATTTACAAACATTTCATAGTTCTCCTCGTTTTTCTCCTACACACACAAACATAATCAAATTTTACCACTGCTTAACTATATCTATTTTGTTGACTACGCAAACAGAAACAGATTTACTGTGTATAGTAATAATGTAATATACACCTATATTGTGAGCATAGTTTAGGAAATAAAACTGTTAAATTATAATAATAATACATCTACCGCACTGTTTGAACAAACATTATGTATACTACCCGTTTAAAACCTAGGGGGAAAATATCTCTGAAATTAAGTAATAAATAAAAACCAAATAACACATAAAACAGATTTTTACCTCCCCCGATAATACTCCACAATACCTTTAACTTATTAGTATAATACAGTGTTTATTTTTTTATCATTATTGATAGCTATATAAACTAAAATGGTTTTTTAACAATTACAACGGTAATAATAAATTGCTAAATTAAAAACGAAGTAGGAATACGTTAATACTGTTTTGGGTTAAATTTAAAAAAAAATTGTATTTAGTCTCTATAAATCTTACAGCAATCTAATATTTAATATAATAACCTATATGAGTGTTGCACGATTTATTCCTTATTATAAATGTTTACAAATAATATAATAATATGTAAATTGTATTTTTCTGTAGTATACTTTTATTTTGTTTTACAATCATTTTCATTTCTTATACGCAAAAATTTCACAGAATGTAAAGTTCTAAATACAGTTTCCGAAAATAAAACGAATTAGTTTTTAAAATTTAATTTATAACACAAAGCAACACCGCTGACGACGTGCGTATACTTTGTGATTTTACAATAAAATTAGAACGATCGAGTGAAAACAATTAATTATTTTCTAAACTGCATTCGCTTACTTCAACTTTGTAGAAATGTAGTTATTCCTACAACGCTTTGATTTTCTTTTGGAATACCTAATAACAAACAACAATGCTGTTATAATTTATTAATTCATTTATTAAACTGAATTTAAGTGTTCCACCTTATATAATACGAAATATATTCTTATGGTATAAATCGTTGTAAATAACTATTTTAATCATATTTTAACTAAACGTTAATCAAAACTATTTTCAACTACTGTAAAATTGCTGTGTGTATGACTTCCCTGCAAGCTTATTCAGAAAAAAAAAATGTTAAAACTAATAGCTGCTTCGTTTAATTAACTATTTATTTTGTCAATCCCTATGTATAAAGTGATTAACCAAGCGTGCTCATCGCTCTATTTTTTCTTAAATAAAAAATGTATTTAGACTTTTAATTTTGAAATGTTTAAGTATATCTAAAGATCATACTTTCAAATACTTAATATTTTTTAATATTTATGAAATATTCTGTTGCGATACTAACCTCTTATTTTTCTAATGAGAATTATCTTTTTTCTTGTTAGGTTATTAATCAGACGACTTTTTTTTTAAATATTGATAAAAATACGTATTTTAATCGAATTCACTTAAGATATTAAATTTACGATTATATACTTGGAAGGTGTAGAAATTATAATGATTTAATAGTTTTAGTAATTTTATTTATATTATATCTATTAACATTTTATGATATAGTAAAAACTAGAAATTATCAATTAATACTAGATTCAATATTAAATATTATATCGTATATTTTTGTATAATTATCTTAAGAACTATTGTCCTTAATCTAGATATATATTTTAATAACTTAAAAGCTACTCATTTGAATTTTGATTAAAATATATTAAAATTTAAAAAAAAAAAAAACCATCAGCTTAAAAATTTATAATATAAGAGATTAGTTTCCAATTAAAAAAAAAAACAAAAACAAAAAGTATGTATCACCACAGAGACTCATTTAATGGTATGATAATCTAAATAATATGTGTATTGAAAATATGTTCATTAAGTATACTCAATTAATGAAGGAAAAATAGGTTTGATTCACCCTATATACCTAGTCTATAGTATATAGGTAAAATACTTATCTCATAGACATTAAATAAAACCATTATCTTTTAACGAAATGTTTGATATCATTCATGCCAACGGAAGAATGTGTGTATAGTGTATGCCTATCTCCCTTGTTCGTGTTCTTGTGAAATTTATATTCAGTGGCGTGTAAATAGAGGAAACGATTACTATTATATATACATATACTTAAAGACATATAGACATTATGGTAACCTGTGCATATCAAACCAAGAAACTAAAATAAAGAAAAGTACCTACTTATTATATTGTATAAATACTATATATTAACCAACTATACCGTATAGGTAAACATTATACATATGCAAATTGATGACACGCATCAATAATATGTAAACATACTTAGTGAGAATATTATTGAACTCGTAATTTGTGTTATACCTGTATTTTAAACTGCAGTGATTTGTCGACCGCGTTGTTATTATTTGTACCTAACAAATCTATTATTAATTTTATCAAACTGAACATGTACATGTTTTTCAATATGCACTCTGTTTCAAATGTTTAGCTATAATAGTAATAGTAATAACTAGATATACCTAGTTAAAATGATAGATAAACAAAAACATTATAAAGCTTTAAATCTTTTTTCCTGTAATGTTTTCCATTTTGCACCAGAAACGTTACTATCCCCATATATCCTTCGGGCTCTATAGTGTTCTACTTTATCATGATTATTTATTTCTAAATTACGGATATGACGATAATTATGTATATTTCAATCCAGTTGAGCCATTGTTACACGCATATCTATAAATAACTGATGGGTTTAAAATCTCAGATTTGGCCTGAATTAAATTCCTCGTTTCAAATTCAAAATGTTTTTAAATCTGAAATCAACATAAAATAACGTTGTATTTTTTCAATTCAGAACTTAAAGATATTTTAAAACTAACACCAATATTTGAAACTGTGATGGTATTTATATTAGCAAAATAAATAAATGCCTTTTTTACTTCACTGAATTCTATACGCATATATATAAAAGAATACACATTAATAATTCACTTCTTAGCTTAGGTTTATCTCCACATTTTTTATATCGTTTATAATATATGCCAAATAGATTTTCGAGACTTTTCGCCACGTCACAAGTGCCATATATAAACAATAGCAATTTATACGTATAAATATCAAAACCGGGAGAAAAAGACTGCATATTGATTAAACGGATCTACAACAGCAGTAATCATATATTGTATTGATCTCGGTGGCTCACACGCTGATTCTGAAATAACTATATGGAGATTATATTATTATTTATTTTTTGCTTGTGCATCAAGTCCGTTATTTTGAGAATATTATTCCCAAGCGTATAGACCCAAAACAATAATGGGTATTCTTGTTGGGTCTCAAAAGGCAAAAAACACTCACACACACATACACACATCACAAAGTAGATACATATATGTGTAGTTCAGATCATTTTGATTGTAAAACTTAGTAAATTTTTAACGACTTAAGGGTTAAATCGGGTTCACTGCATTTCCATAACTGATGAACAAAAAATCCCGAACTCCGTTATTATTAATTAACCCTTATAACCTTAGAATATTTGGATGATATTAATGTAAGTACCTATATATTGCGTATCTTCAATATTCAGGCTTTTCAATTTGATTATGTGAACGTTAGCATGTACACACACATCTTAATATTATATATTATTATGTATATGTATGATATAATATATAACCACGGGAGTTCATTCCATGTATATTAAATTGCTTGTATAAAATAATATATTTTCAATTGCCGAATACAAATAAACGAAAAATATATTTATATAATAATAAAGAAGAATCCAACTAGATACCGTTTGTCCGTTTCGTTCTGGTACGTCCAATATAACACACGGACAAACGTAATTTAGGTGAAATTCTACGATTTTTCTCTATTAAAATTAATAAAACGTATTTTATTTTTCTCCCTACTCGATTTTTATCACAATTCGACTCAACCAGAAACTATTGAGGAATTGGATGTGATATGTAATTTGAGAGAAATTTCCGAGACCTATGATTATTTGGCACTGCCACCAAATAACAATAAAAAAATCAAATGAGAAAATCAGATCAATGTGAATCATTAGATTATTTTGAAAACGGTGGGGAATTTTAAATGAATAATTTTTGTTTGTTGATTGATACTCAGCAGTCACAGTACATATTCATAAGTCATAACTAAAGCACCATGCATATAAGAGAAAAAATTATAAAATTTATTGTTCCTAGTTACATTTATAATAGTGTTATATCTATAGTAAATTTAAAATCCGTTATTTTTTTTTTTTTTTTTTTAATTTATTAATTATATACTATTTAAGAGGGTACCATGCCTGCAAATTTACGACAAATCTATTTTA